ATCCAGGCCAGCATTTCGCATGATGTACTCTGCATATATATTAAATAAGCAAGGTGACAATATACATCCTTGTCGTACTCCTTTTCCTATGCTAAACCAATCAGTTGTTCCATATCCGGTTCTAACTGTCGCTTCTTGACCCTTATACAGGTTTCTCAAGAGACATGTGAGGTGGTCTGGTACTCCCATCTCTTTAAGGACCTGCCATAGTTTGTTGTGATCCACACAGTCAAAGGCTTTAGCATAGTCAATGAAGCAGAAGTAGATATTTTTCTGGTACTCTCTTGCTTTCTCCATAATCCAGCGAATGTTGGCAATATGATCTCTCGTTCCTCTACCTCTTCGAAACCCAGCTTGTACTTCTGGTAGTTCTCTATCCACGTACTGTTGAAGCCTAGCTTGTAGGATCTTGAGCATGACCTTGCTAGCGTGTGATATGAGTGCAATTGTGCGATAGTTTGAACATTCCTTGGCATTGCCCTTCTTTGGGATTGGAATGTATACTGACCTTTTCCAATCCTGTGGCCACTGTTGCGTTTTCCAAATTTGCTGGCAAATGGAGTGCAGAACTTTAACAGCATCATCTTCTAAGACTTTGAATAGCTCAACTGGAATACCATCACCTCCACTAGCTTTGTTGTTAGTAATGCTTTCTAAGGCCCATTTAACTTCACATTCCAGGATGTCTGGCTCGAGGTCAGTGATTATACCGTCGTGGTTGTCAAGGACATCGAGGTCTTTCTTGTATAGTTCTTCTGTGTATTCTTGCCATCTTTTCCTAATCTCTTCTGCTTCTGTTAGGTCCCTACCGTTTTTGTCCTTTATCATGGCCAGCTTTGCATGGAACGCTCCCTTGATTTCTCCAATTTTCTTGAAGAGATCTCTAGTCCTTCCCATTCTATTGTTTTCTTCTATTACTTTGCACTGTTCATTCAGGAAGGCCTCCTTATCTCTCCTTGCTGTTCTCTGGAAATCTGCATTCAGTTGGGTAAATCTTTCCTTTTCGCCTTTGCCTTTCGCTTTCCTTCTTTCCTCTGCTATTTGTAAAGCCTCATCAGAAAGCCACTTTGCTTTCTTACATTTCTTTTTCTTTGGGATGGTGGTGATTGCTGCCTCCTGTACAATGTCACGAACCTCCGTCCATAGTTCTTCAGGCACTCTATCTATCAAATCTAGACCCTTGAATCTATTCTTCACCTCTACTGTATATTCATCAGGGATGTGATCTAGGTCAAACCTGAATGGCCTAGTTGTTTTCCCAATTTTCTTCAGTTTAAGTCTGGATTTTGCAATGAGTAGCTCATGATCTGAGCCACAGTCAGCTCCAGGTCTTGTTTTTACTGACTGGATAGAGCTTCTCCATCTTTGACTGCAAATTATATAGTCAATCTGATTTCGGTGTTGCCCATCTGGTGATGTCCATGTGTAGAGTCGCCTCTTAGATTGTTGGAAAAGGGTGTTTGCTGTGACCAGTGTGTTCTCTTGACAAAACTCTGTTAACCTTTGCCCTGCTTCATTTTGCTTTCCAAGGCCAAACTTGTCTGTTATTCCGGTTACCTTTTGACTTCCTACTTTAGCATTCCAGTCCCCTATGATGATGAGGACATCATTTTTTGGTGTTAGTTCTATGAGGTGTTGTAAATGGACAGTATCAAAAGGTTGAAGGGATAGCTTTTCTTAAATCTACCCTCCCTTCCCTTCTGTGATGGGTAAGAGATATCTTCTTATTTAAAAATCACATGTTTGGAAGGGATGTTGAGGATTATTTGGCTGCACTGTTCAGAATTTGCCTGTTGTAATCTTTTACTGATAAGTACTCACCCAGAGACTTCTTTTAAAACCAGGGATGGAGAGCTTTTATTTTCCCTAGGCAACTTGTTTCATTGTACTACAATTAAGACATATTTTCTAATGCCTTGTCCTTTCTTCAGGATTTCTGGTAAACAGCTCCTCCGTTTTCTTGTAGTAACAGAGGTGTTCAACTCATTTGTTATGAGGGCTGGATCTGACATAAATGTCACTTTATCGGGCCGAGCCCTTTGTGCCATAAAAAGTAATGCCAGGTACTGGAGATGTAAACTTTATAAAGGACACAGGCAAACCCAAATAACGATATTATTTTTGACTCAAAATACAAACATGCTTAAAACATTAACACTCTTACAGTATTTCCTTTATTCAGCAGTCTTTGATAACTGACAACTCTTGCTCTGAATTATTGCATCAAAATCTGGAGTAAATGTGCTGTTCAGGTATGTATCTATAAACTGATGTACTGACATTCTGTTCATGTATTGATGCCCCATATTTCCCACCCCATTCAAAAAAGGATGGGCTTGGTTTTCCCAGTCCTTCTGTTTCATTGAAAGAGGATAATATAGCCACTATTAATAAATATTATAGCCACTATTAATAAATAAGTTATGGAGGATTTACAGAGCTAATAGCCATTTAGCCTCTCCCACTCAGCTTGAGAGATGCCACGAGATATTTCCCCGTCCCTGCCGTAATAACACATATAAAATCCACTTCCACCTGCAGAGACTATGATAATGCTGAAGCTTAGGTCAGCATCCCCCTCCATCTTCCCCCCATTCCCTATGGCTGCCCCTGCAATCCCCTCACTCTTCACAGGAACCATCATGGGCAGTTGGCTGCCCTGGCCACACCCAGACATGGCCCTGCCTGTTCCGTCAGCTCCCAGGACCCTTCTGCCTCCCCACGGGAGGGGCTGGGACTCCGGCAAGAGGCAGTGATGGCAACAAAGGCATAAGAACAAGGAAATCTTCTCAGGGTCTGGGTGGCAGCAGCAGTGGCTCTCTCCACCCCGGGGCCTGCCTGCTATCACACATGCACCAGCACTGAAACTCACTCCTCATCCCTTCTGCAGCACACAAGGGACAAGCTGTCAAGGCCGCTGTCTCTTTGATCGTAGAGCGCAAGTGTGGGCAACCCTGATGCCTGTTCTCCCAATTCTGCTGCCTGTTACACATTAGTACTGGGACAGTGTATAGGGACATAATGCACAGCCTCTGTCATCTGGCAATAATGACCAGTTGTTCACAAGCCAGATAAGAGCCCTGAATGGGCTGGTTCCAGTCCCCGGGCCGTATGTTTGACACCTCTGACTTAGACTTCCAGAAAGCTTTTGATAAAATTCCTCATCAAAGGCTCCTAAGTAAACTCAGCAGTCATAGGATAAGAGGACAAGTCCTCTTGTGGATTTAAAACTGGATAATTAACAGGAAACTGAGAATGAGTATAAATGGGCAGTTTTCACAGTGGAAGGTGGTAAGCAGTGGGGTACTGCAGCACTTGGTACTAGGACTGGTGCTGCTTAACTTTCCCATTAATGATTTGGAGTTGGAAGTAAGCAGTGAAGTGACTAAGTCTGTGGATGACACTAAGTTGTTCAGGGTGGTGAGAATCAGGGAAGACTGTGAGGTGCTCCAGAGGGAACTGTCAAGGCTGGGTGAGTGGGCATCAACATGGCAAATGAGGTTTAACATGGGCAAGTGCAAAGTAACACACATTGGAGCCAAAAGTCCTAACTATAAATATACATTGATGGGGTCTGAACTGGCAGTAACTGACCAGAAGAGAGATCTTGGAGTAATGGTAGATAAATCACTGAAGATATCGACTCAAGTGTGTGACTGCAATAAAAAAGGCCAATGCTATGCTGGGGATTATTAGGTAGGGTATTGAAAACAAATCAGCCAGTATCATAATGCCCCTGTATAAATCTGTGGTGCAGCCTCACTTGGAATACTGACTACAGTTCTGGTCACCACACCTCAAAAAAGATATTATAGCACTGGAAAAGGTGCAGAAAAGGGCAACTAAAATGATTAAGTGGATGGAACACCTTCCCTATGAAGAAAAGTTAAAGCATTTGGGGTTCTTTTGCTTGGAAAAATGATGGCTGAGGGTGACATGATAGAGATTTACAAAATGATGCATGGGATAGACAAGGCAGAGAAGAAAGTACTTTTCTCCCTTTCTCACAGTACAAGAACTCAGGAGTACTTAATGAGCAGTTGGCTTAGAACAGATAAAAAGAAGTACTTCTTTGCCCACAGAGTAACTAACATGTGCAATTCACTGCCGCAGGAAGTGGTGGTGGCCACAAGCACAGACAGCCTCAAGAGGGGACAGGATAAACATATGGAGCAGAGGTCCATCAGTGGCTATTAGCCACAAGGTATAGATGGAACACTGTGTCTGGGACGGTGACACCCTGCTTGGTACTTGGGGAGCCCACTGGTGGACCTCCTGATGGCACCTGGGTTTTGTCCACTGTGTGAAACAGTGTTGGACTGGATGGGCCATTGGCCTGATCCAACACTGGCTTCTCTTATGTTCTTAAGTCTGAGTGGTCTGATTTTGTAACTGAAATCTGAGACTATTTATTTAATTCAATTCAATTTATATCCTGCCCTCCCTGCCAAGGCAGGCTCAGGGCGGCTTACATTAAAAGTTAAAATACATCGCGGCTCAATCTTTTTTTTTTTTCATTGTTTAAATCAGGTTAGTCAATGAATTTAGTGGAATTTCCCCCTCTCCTCAGTCAGATAATGAACTCTATAAGAAAAGGAGATCTCCGGGGGCAGGGGGGGGGAGGAGACTAAGTGATGAGAAATTCATACATAACCTCTTATTTGCGCTAGACTGTGCAAACCTAAGTAGGATTATACCCTGGGATTGTACTGTGAGTCTCCTACATTACCCTCATTAGTAAAATAATAATTTTTTAAAAAGTATAACAACATCCTACACATCAAGAAATTAATCTTTTCACCAACATGCTTGCAGTCCATGGCAGTAAAGCCCATGAAAAGTAAGAAGGCTGCATGTCAACAAAAACTTGTAAATACCCATCTTGCATTCAGTGATGGTATACCGTTTTGTACTTCTGCAAAGCAATGGCATTTATATTGCCCTTCAAACAAGTTTCCCTGGAACTGGAGTTGCAAACCACATTGACAGGCTGAGGGGATTCTAGTTTTGTTCTTACTTAGGTCCCTTTATGCTTTCCATTTCCGCTCTTTGAGTTCATTCTGTTCAGCAGCAAGCATTTGTACCACAGAACTGAATTTGGTCATCTGACTACAGTAATACTGAGCTGCTCCACGGGGGCCTTCTTTGGATACTGATCTGTACTGAAACCAGAAGATCCTTTTGTTTTATACAGCAGTGTGTTAGTTCCGTGTTTATTTACAGAGGGAAATAAGATCCATCTTTTGAGCTCTGAAGGCAGGTTAGAAAGTCTCATGCACATTAACATATATTTCCTCTTGTGTTTTCTGGTAAGATACCTGAAATTCAGGGAAAGCAAGCAAAAAATTAACATTTTCAGGATGATGGTCAGGGTGCATAGTGATTATTATAGAGATGACTATAACAGTTTTTTCAGGCTCTGAAATAATTCCATCGGTCAACATTCAATGGATACTGTACCAGTCAAACATAACAGTGCAATCCCAAAGAGACGGGAGCTGACCAGATGCTACAATGGCACACCCCAAAGATGTGCCAACACAGTGACCTGCTGCCAGCTCCATAGCTAGACAGTTTTCTGTGGGAGGGCAAAAATGGGTTGAGGACCGCTGCTTCTTCTTCTCTTCCCCTGGAGACAAGCCCCCCCCCCCCAATGGCCAGACATTCACCCACCCTCCCAGCCTCTCCCAGACTCACTGATGGTGGTGATCAAAGTGCTGCAGAAGAAGAATGTGGAGGCGAAATCCCAGGAAGCACTCAAGGTGGCCTCCAGCAGGCATAGGCTGCTCTCTAGGAAGGCCACCTTGAGCTCCCAAGATGACCAGCATGCCCAGCAGCAGGTAGCCAGTGTAGCCCAGTGCAAAGAATGCCAGCAGGGCACAGCACCACGTGGTCTGGCAGCACAGCGCGGCCACGGCCGGGGCAACCAGGTTCCAGGAACGCCAAGCGCTGCCCCCCCCCCATCTCCAGCTGGTGTGCTGCAAGCGATCCTGTTAGTTGGCAGCTACCAGGGCACTAGGGCTCTGCTTGCAGGTGGCGGGGGCCCATGTGCCTGGCTGGGGATGGCCATGAGTTTCGCCACGCAGGCTGCTGAGGAGGGGGAGGGGGCCAGGCACACTCCTGTGGGGGGCATCGTCCCCTGGTCCCATGGTCTCTACAGGCCTGCCTGGTCCTGCTGTGCCATTGCTAAACACCAGCGCAGCAATGCTGTGGCCCTCCACCAAAGTGCTGCGAGTGCTGACCCTGCACTAGTGGGGGAGAGGGCTGGCCCAGAGATGAGGCAGGCACCACTCAGCTCCCTGAGCCACCCCAGCCTGGGAACGTCCCACAGCAACAATGAAGAACTTCACCTGCAAAAATCCATGGCTGCTGCCCTGTGGTTTGTTGTTTACTTCCTGTCTGTCATAGTTACGTGGTTGTATCCCATATCTTGTGGGTGCAATGGCACAGTTGCTGGGGACACTGGCCCAGTCAGAAGGGGCAAATAAACCGGGGAAATTTTTAGCTTGGCAACTTAAGGCTAGAAAAGAAAGAAGAATGATAACCAGAATAATAGAAGAAGGAAAAGAGTTCGTTGACCCTACTGGCATAAAGAGAAGTTTCTTCAAGTACTATGCTAAATTATTCCAAGCAAATAGAACAGATCTTGAGAAGATTAAAAAATATTTGGACAAGGTTCCGTTACTTAAAATAAGCAACGAATTTCAGGAATTACTGAATGGCCAAATTCAAAAAGAAGAAGTGAGGAAGGCAATTGAAGAAGCGAAGTTGGGGAAGGCGCCAGGACCGGACGGATTTACCGCAAAGTTTTATAAAAAAATGAAAGAAGAAATTGTTCCGGTCATGGAAGCTTTATCCAACGACATACGTGAGAGTAAGAAGGTGCCGGACTCTTGGAAGGAAGCAATCATTTCATTAATACCAAAGGAAGGACAAGAACACTGGAAGTTTATGCTGCAAATGATGGAAAAAATAGAAGTGGGACAACACTTTAGAAACTGCATTGAAGCTATCTATTCTGAACAAAGAGCTAAACTGAATGTAAACAAAGAACTGAC